AATAATGGTTGTGAAGGTAAATGCTAAAGAACAGTGTAAGGGATGTGTTACTGAGAGAAAATGTATGCAGTGCCTGGCTGTAGACAACAGTTTACAACACCAGAGAGATATTGAAAGTCTGGATTTAGTAGTGGCCCCATCAGCCCCACCGGCATCAAATGAAGAAAGGGGGGAGGGAGAAGATGACAGTGAGGAAGAGAGTGATAGTGATCTTGAAAGCATGGGAAGTTGCGAGCAAGCGTAGGGAAGATCAGAGGGTCAACCCTCCCCGCTACTCCAGTTTCACACAGAACCGCCGGAGGGGAAATCGGGAAGGAAAAATGCAAAACCAGGTACCTAAAGCAGTGCTGGCACCTTTAAGACAGGGGTGGGAGCTGAGGGCCCGGTGTATGTTAAGGTACCCTTCTCGGCTGGAGATTTAGTCATCTGGAAACAATCAGCAGGAACACATAGAGAAAACCCTGATAAAGTAGCCCGTGTAATGAAAATGATTATGAAAACTCAAAATCCAGATTGGGATGATATACAGGTGTTCTTAGACACTTTTACAGATTCAACAGAAAAGGAAATGGTATTACGAACTTCTCGGGTAAGAGTTCGGGAGGATATAAGACAAGGGTTAGTTATGGGAAACATAGATCAAAATTTCCCTATGGAAGATCCGATGTGGGATTATAATACACAAATAGGGATGAGGAATTTACAAAGGTATCAAGATTGGGTAATTGTTGGAGTACAAAATGCTGCGCCTAAAACAATAAACTGGTCAAAACTGTATAATGTCAGACAGGAGAAGGCAGAATCACTGTCTACTTTCCTAGAAAGACTTAAGGAAACAGCGAAGAAGTATACAGACTTGGATGTGGAAACTGAACAGGCTAGGGCACAATTGGCTTTAATTTTCGTAGGACAGTCTCAGGACGATATCAGGAAAAAGTTACAAAATTGGAGGGGGGAGACCTGCGGAACCTAGATAGATTATTGGAAATGGCCTGGAAAGTGTAAAGTGTATAACAACAGGGAAAAAGAGAGCTCTCAGAGGCAACAGCAAAATCTGTTGGCTGTAATCCAGGGGAGAGGACGAGGCTTTCCTAACCCTAGAGGAGGAGGATGGGGAAATATATGAGGACAGGGACGAGGAAGAGGACTTAGCAACCTAAACTTGGGGATGAATACAGACAGGCTAGGGTATAATCAATGTGCCATTTGTAAACAAGAAGGTCACTGGAAAAATGAATGTCAGTTTAAGGGAGGACAATTTGTGCCTCCAGGGAATCCTTTTATGGGATCTGATGTAGCTAAGGCGATGGTGCTAGGACAGTTTGATAATCAAAGCTGACTAGGTAAAGCGAGAAATGAAGAACCCCTAGTAAAAATCCAACTGGGGGAAAAAGAAGTGAAATTTTTAATAGACACAGGGGCTACCTATTCAGTTTTAAATCATTTACATGGGAGGTTAGGGGAAAGAACTACGACAATTGTGGGAGCCACAGGGAAGGAGGAAATACAGCCATTCTTGCAGCCCCTAGATCTGCAATTTAGAGGGAAGGAATTAACACATGAATTTCTATATGTACCTGAGTGCCCCATTCCCCTTTTAGGACAGGACTTATTGGCCAAATTAGATGCAATGATAATTTTTGAGAATGCTGAATTAATAATGCAAATCCCCAAATCAAAAGCAGGACAGATCTTGGTTCGCAAAGAAAAACCCATTGCTCAAATCCCAAAGGAAGTAGAAGAGGCTGTAATACTGGTAGTCTGGGGAACAGAAATCCCGGGAAAATCAAAAGCAGCTCAACCAGTAATAGTAGAGCTAAAGGATGGGGTTAGGCCAGTAAGAATTAAACAATATCCACTGAAGCTAGAAGCAAGATATGGGATTATAAAAATAATTGAGAAATTTCTAAAATATCGAATTTTAGAAGAATGTGAATCAGAATATAACACGCCAATTTTTCCAGTAACAAAACCAAATGGTAAATATAGGTTAGTACAGGATCTGAGGGCAATAAATGAAATAACAAAAGATATCCATCCCGTAGTAGCAAATCCTTTCACACTGTTAACATCTGTGAAGGAAAAATATAAATGGTTTACAGTAATTGACTTAAAAGATGCCTTCTTCTGCATTCCTCTTGATAAAAGTAGCAGGAAATTGTTTGCATTTGAATGGGAAAATCCACAGAGCGGACAAAAAACACAACTAACGTGGACCAGACTCCCACAAGGATTCAAAAACAGTCCAACCCTTTTTGGGAATCAATTGCCTAAGGAGCTGGAGGCAGGGACCACTCAAGGAAAGGTACAGGTACCGAGATCACAATATCTCTTACTGCAATCCGTAGATGACATCTTTATTGCAACAGAACAAAAATCGTTATGCATAAAAGTCACTACTGAAATCCAGAATCAGCTAGGCCTGAATGGTTATAAAGTCTCGAAAGAAAAGGCATAAACTGCATGTACAACTGTGTTGTATCTAGGATGTGAAATTTCGCAAGGACAGCAAAAACTGGGAATAAACCGCATAGAGGCAATTTGCACCACTCCAGAACCATGAAATTTACATGAATTGAGGACACTTTTGGGCATGGCAGGATGGTGCAGGTTGTGGATAATGAACTATGGACTCATTGCTAAACCCCTGTATGAAGCCCAAAAATCACATGCTTTTGTTTGGGACAAACCCATGAAAGAGGCCTTTAAAAAACTAAAGGAGGCATTAACGAAATCATCAGCATTGGAACTCCCAGATTTGACAAAGGACTTTCAGTGATTTGTCCATGAGAGACAGAGATTGGCGTTGGGAGTATTAACCCAGAAACTTGGAAGTTGGAAAAGACCAGTAGGATATTTTTCAAAACAACTGGACTGGGTAAGTGCGGGATGGCCTTCATGTTTACAAGCGGTAGCGGCAACTATTGTTCTAATACAGGAGGCCAGAAAACTGACTCTGGGAAAGCATATCAAAGTGTTTGTACCACATATGGTAACAACTGTCTTAGAACAAAAGGGAGGGTATTGGTTATCCCCTAGCCGAATGATGAAATATCAAGCAATCTTAACAGAACAAGACGATGTAAGTCTAAAGACTACTAACTTGTTAAATCCAGCAGCTTTTCTAGGAACTGACCTAGAGGAAGGAACTCTTGAACATAACTGCATAGAAGTCATCGAGCATACATATGCAACTAGAACAGACTTAAAAGATGTACCTCTTGAACAACCGGACTGGGAACATTTCACAGATGGAAGCAGCTTTGTGGAGAACAGTATGCAGGATATGCTGTGACAACGCAACAAAAGGTAATTGAAGTAAAAGCATTGCCTCCTGGGATGTCAGCTCAACGGGCAGAGCTGATAGCTCTTACAAGAGCATTGGAACTGAGCGATGATAAAAAAGTAAATGTATGGACTGATTCAAAGTATGTGTTTGGTGTAGTACATATACATGGAGCATTATGGAAGGAACGAGGACTGTTATCTTCACAAGGGACTAATATAAAATATCAAGAAGAAATCTTGAAACTGATAACTGCTGTACAAAAACCCAAACAGGTAGCCATTATGCATTGTAAAGCACACCAAGGAGGAACTTCAAAGATATCTGAAGGAAATACACTGGCAGATCGGACAGCTTGACAAGTTGCCCGGAAGGTATGGAACATGATGGCCCTGATACCCCTAAAGGTAAGCCCGCTCCATACCTATCTTCCACAAGACCCAAAATATTCAAGAGAAGATGAAAAGCTGGCAGGACTTTTAAAGGCTCAAAAGAATTCTGAAAGGTGGTATACAACAACAACTGGACAGGTAATAGTACCACCAGCAATAATGCAGAAAATTCCTACAAACTGAACATCAAAAATGTCATTGGGGTGCAGAAGCATTGGTAACTTATTTAAAACAGGGAATAATTTCCACACAGATGCTAACTATGGCAAAAGCAGTGGGGTCAAAATGTGAAGTTTGTTTGAAAAATAATCCAGTAGTAAAAAGACAAGTTGAGATAGGAAGAATTAGAATAGGGGTGGAACCAGGAGATTATTGGCAGGTTGATTTTGTGGAATTACCAAAGGTACAAGGGTATAAATATCTATTAGTAGGGGCTGATACTTTTTCTGGATGGCTGGAAGCCCTTCCCTGTCACACCGATCAGGCGAAAGAAACAGTGAAGTGGTTGCTCAGAGAAACCATTACACGATTTGGAGTCCCTTTAGGGATATTATCAGATAGGGGCCCACACTTTGTTGCAACCATAGTACAAGAAGTTAGTAAACTATTAGGGGTATCATGGAACTTACACACCCCTTGGAGGCCTCAATCTAGAGGACAAGTAGAAAAGATGAATCAAAAAATAAAGAGACAAATCAGTAAAATATGTCAAGAGGCCAAAATAAAATGGCCACAAGCATTACCTATAGCTCTGCTAAGAATCAGAGTAAAACCCAGAAGCGAAATGTCAGTAAGCCCCTATGAGATCCTCTATGGAAAACCATACAAGGCACTGGAACCCAATCCTAATACCATTATTAAAGGGAATCAAGACATTTATAATTATGTGCTGTCTCTCGGTAGAACTTTAGCTCAACTGTGGAGCATTCTGGTGTGAAACAGACCACTAGCTTTGGAAAATCCAGTACATGACATCCAACCAGGAGATTGAGTATACGTCCGCAACTGGAATGAAGAACCATTAAAAGAACAGTGGGACGGACCATATCAAGTACTGTTAACCACGTTCACAGCAGTAAAAGTAGAAGGGGTGGATTCTTGGATACATTATACATGAGTAAAGAAAGTTCCAAAGGTTTGGGAAACACAAGTACTAAGTCCTACGAGACTAAAACTAAAATGTAAATAAGATGTCTGGATTTGTTTGCAAAACTTTAATTGTCGTTTGGTCATTAACACAGCTGACGGTTGTTCTCTTTCTAGAAATTCCTCAGAAAAGAGATGTTTTGACATGGCTCATAGGACAAGATGCGATTCTGACCTGCAAGTTCACAGACACCATTCCGGTAGGATCAATGCCAATAAGGGTAATTTGGGAAAAGGTAAATAGTCCTCCCCAATATTCAGACCTTATCTTTGACAGTAAGAAACATAGGGCTCAACTGCAGGGTAAATGGAAGTTGAAAGGTGAAGTTAAAAGGAGGCCCAATGGGCAGAACCAAAATGCAAGGGAAATAGAATTAAAATTATCAAACTTAACTTTTGAAGACCAGGGCAAATATCGATGCATTATAAAAACAAATGAAACTGTAGATTATGCAGAAAGAACATTAATTGTCAACTCTGCAGAAAATTATGGAATGAAAGCAAATCACGACTCTGCAATTGACTACAGTGAAATTGAAGTTACAGGAAAAAGAATTAAAAGATCAGTTGCATCAGTGGATGCAACACAAATAGTTCAGATATCCCGCCAAGATCCTGAAGAAAACTTAATGATAGGCCTAATCGAAGATTTTGCAAAAATGCAAAATACAAGTAAAATAACGGCATGTTTACCGATACCAAAAGCAGCCGGAGAACTGATTGAATGAGGAATAATAACGTTCTCATTTCCAGAAATTAACAAAACAATGTCAGGAGAAGGAAATGACAAAAAACATAACAGCGACGGAATATCATAAGGAAGGTATTCTGGAAACCTCCATAACAAAGTCGTTATGTGAAAAGAAACTAAACTTTCAGTTTACCTCTTATGAAGGAGGAGTTGGGAGATGTATTTATCATAAAAAAACTAAAGTAAATAGACAAGTAAAAGAAAAGGTGTGGGAATGCCAAAAGGTGAATGATTCAAAACAAAGTTGGGATACGGTCTGGTCAATGAGTATCTTACAGAAATTCCAATATGGTGGAGACACACCTTGGTGTCTTAAATGGACAGGGAAACAAAATGCAACAGGAGAAATAAACTTGCTGTCAATGAATAAGGTCAGTCAAAATACTATCAAAAATGTTCCCTGGTGGAATTGTACAAGAATTTTGGATTGTGATACTGACCCTGAAGAGATTGCAATAGTCCCAGTTAAGGTTGCTTTGATGGCTCGGTGTGCATGCCGAGGACTAAAAATAGGAGGAAAAACAATTCACGTCCCAGATAATACTATAGGCTGTAGGTATTCAACGGTGTGTAGTATGGGACACTTTGTTTGGGCAGTTAATGATGGGACCTGGACTACCCACCTATCTATGGAAGGTCCAGTTAAAGAAATTACTTTAGGATTACCCACACTCTGTCCAATTTGGAAGAAATCACCATTTAAAGGTAAGCTGAAATCCTATAAATTCAAACAAAAAGGGATATAGATGATGATGATGAAGATACTTGGCAAGAACCCTCCACAGGAGTCAAAGTAGGATGGGCTTTAGAATCCCTATTTGCCCAGGTTGCAACCTACCGAAATAGGGAAATGATTTATAATCTGATTGGTCAAACAGAGAGACTAGCCAGAATAACAAAGAAAGGATTTAGAGATTTGAAGTTGCAGTTGCAAGCAACGACTAAAATGACCTTGCAGAACAGAATGGCGTTGGACATGTTACTAATTAAAGAACATGGTGTTTGTGAATATTTGAAAGACAGACTAGACCATTGTTGTATTCATATTCCTAACGTAACTGCGAACATAGAATACGATATTTCCCAGTTGACCAAAGTAGAACAAGAAGTGGAAAGAGAGTACATTGAACAAAGTTGGATTGGAGCACTCTTCGATAGTTTGGGCCTTCACCTCACAGGATGGGTCCGTTCCCTCGTGCAAACTGTAATTGTGATACTGATTGTATTTTTATGCTATATCTGATGTATCTTTGTATCCGGAAGGAAATAGCCCAAAGCAGTGCATGGACCCATCGAATCATAGGAGCAGTAACTAGGGAACATCCAAAGTACCCCACACCTCCACCTACCTATCAGGAGACAGCTACCTAAGAGAATGAAAATACTTGCTTAAGTTAAATGAAGTATTTTCAAAGGGGGGAAATGTTAGAAAAGGGTGAAGTTTTTACAATAAAATAATCATATAAAATAGTAAAATGATTATATTTGAGAAATTTATAAATCAATAGTGAGGCTTTGTATTTTAGAAGATGTTGTAACTTTGCCATTTTGCATCATAGTTACTCTATAACTAAATGTTACAATGGTAGTCTTGGTAGCAAGAGCTAACATAACTATATATGGTGAGGGGAGTATGGGTGCATTTCCTTGGCCAAACCTAAACATCACTATCAGCTCTGTTCCCAAGGAAGTATGTATTGTAAAACTCTACCCAAGCAGAACCTATGTTTAAGATAGCCAAAAGGACATACCAGAGGCAGTCAAGGGAAGATAAGAAAATGCTAGTGTCCACACAATGGTTGGGATGTATCCAAAGAACAGAAATGTGAAAAGGACAAGCCGAGGAAGACTTCTTACTTCATCCAAGGAAGACTTACTTCATCAGGGCGACCACCAGAGGCGGCTGCGCAAGCGCAAAAGAGGCTGATGTAATAGACTGATGTAGCAATCCTTGATGCAGATGTATTTAGTCAGTGATGTAATCTGTGTTGAATATGCATTAGTTACGAAATTTTTAGTGTATAAATTGCGAACGCGATGTGACAAGGGCGAAGCCAGATTTGGGCGCGTGCCCCTGGTTTCCCAGTGCTGCAATAAAGCACCTCATATAACCATTCCGGTGGTTATGTGTCAGTTCTTACGCTAACATTGGCACCCAGAAATACTTCTCCAGCATTACATGACTAACCAGAAACAGACTAAAATTCACACCTATACCTAGACTATTTTTGTGATTTAATTTACCAAATCAAGACTAAACCAATGTGACTCAATCAAAAGGAGGTAACAGGCAGTCACAACCTCATTTTGTTTGCATTTACTTTTGCAACATTTAACAAGTCTACACTTTGACAGCACTGCTGTCATACACACAGAAATACTTCTAAGAAATAAGTATGTCCAAGCACTTTCTGCATGTCATTATAATGTGTATAGGTTTTGAAAATGCAAGCTGCAGCTTCCACATATGCAGGGGAAATGCAGGGACCCACCCAGTTCATAGCCCTAGGGAACTTGGCAGTTCACAGGAGCAGTATCATAAGATACTTACAGTGACAAACTGGCACCTCTGAGGCAAATACTAATGAAACAATGTGAGAACAGTGCCCACAGGGCTCAGGATCTTCGACAGGTATTTTAAGAGAAACCTATGATCTCTGGTATCAAAAGCCACAGGAAGATCAGTAAGAATTAAAATTGACAATGTGCCAGAATCCACCTACTATAAAACAGAAGGTCACTGCAAATCCTCATTAAAGCTGTCTGACTGCTTTGGCCTGACCGAAATTTTTCAAAGTTTATTATTACCATGAAGGTGAGGGCTGCAGTTGCCCTGCCACAACCTTTTTCCAGGACCTTTGCTAGAAAGGTATATTTGAAATAAGGTGCAAAAAGCAGCAAAAGGCTGCTTAATCAACTCTCCGATCTCCAGAGAAGAAGAAACTCTTACAGATGCCAAAGAGGTGTTAATGATAGCTATTATAAAAGGGAACTGTTACAGTATATCTTCCAAGAACTGCTACAAAAGCCTGGCTGGCAAAAGATCAAGAAAACAGCTTGCAAGTGCAGGATCATATCTATAATAAAAGTACAATGTGACAGGTTTAAAATCCATAAACTATGCTGAAGTACATAGTTCAGAGTCCCAATGACCCAGCTGGAACTGAAGTTGTTGAAAGCCTTGGTGTTTAACCACCACAGGAAAAGACCCCAAAGCCTTCTCTCATCTTCTCACGTCTCTCCACTAGACCTTATGCCAGGAACTGCAGCAGCCCAGATTGCTTCTCTGTAATCAGCTGGTTTTCACCAGCATGCTTGGAAAAATTCAACAGTTGTTAATTGCGAAGAATATTCTACCATAAAAAAGCAGTAACATCAAACGCCACAAAACAAAACCACCAAGCCTACCACAGCTGCTTTAAACAGCGGGACATGCTAAGCATCTGGGAGTATGAAGATGGCAATGATGATCTCACATGAGCTTCCCTGGACTTTATGGCAATATTTTATTAGGCCACATAGCCATCCATTCATGGAAGTACACTGTTCCTCTTGTCTCTTCACCTGTGCTCACCACATTCACTGTGTTTATCCCTGTCCCATGCACAGCTAGAAAGACTTTCCATTTAACCTTGTTTACAGCTGTGATTTAAGTGAAAAACTTCACAGATGTTACACTCTGTTAGCACAGAGTTTACATCTCCCTTGTAGTACTCTGTATCAACCAGACATTTGGGCAAAGATACTTAAAGGCAAGCAGTTAAAAAACGGAAAATCCATTGTATCCAAAGCTTGGCTTTGCTTTGCTTGATTTTTAAACTTAAAACTTGCCCTAACTTAGCTGTGGCTGAACCAGAACATAGATGAAAGCAGATCTGTAAATATGAAAAGAAAGAAAACACAGAAATAAGCCTCACCCCTCAGTTTGAAGTAGTATCTTGGTAAAGTCACTATCTTTCTAGGTCAGAAATCAGATAGAAAATCTGGAAACATTATCAGATGATTGCTCCTTCAGTTCCAGTAGAGTGTCACTGTATTCACAAACCCCAGCCAAATAAAAAAAGTATCCCAACAATCCAAAACTCCCCCCCATCAATCTTGAAGGATGACTTCAGAAGCAGCATTTCAGTACTAGCCTTCTGGTTAAGTCTGAGAAGGATTAGCATTTATTCACATCTTTGGCAACCTTGCTTCTTTGGAATGTTATTGAGCATTTTGTGCACTAGAAGTTAATACAGTGCTTCCCCATGGCATTTCAACTGGGCCAAGGTCAGACCACATTTGATCCTACTAAACTTTTTTTTTTTTTTCAGATATGGTAAACATACCACTACCAAATATTTGTAATAACAGAAAGTAGCTGTATGTAAACACAATCCTGTATGGAAGCTATTGGGAAAGGAGCATGTACTCATACTCAAGTCCTGAAGAATAAACTGGTGAGGAGGGCATTCTGATCTCTTGAAAGGAGCAATAATGGTGGCTGGAAGTGGTGGCATATGACAATGAATGCCATTAGAGGAACAAGCAGATTTCAGAAGAGATGGAGGGAAGGAGATGCCCTAATACATCATATATATATATATGCACACACACATACACAAAAAGTTCGGCAATCATGGAATCTACTGAAAGAAATGGTTGAGTTCTTTGTAAAGCCCCTGGTGAGATTATTAGTGAATGGACAACAAGGGAATCAACAGTGTCATGGGTCATCAGTGACACATGAAGGAGAAATGGGGAAAAGCAAATAACAGCAGAAAACAACAGCCCACATTTCAGTTCTTGGCTATCTCCAATATTAAAGGAAAAAACAAAAGATAAATTCTGGGTCAAATCTGTGACCTAACATAACATTCTCCCTACAAGAGCAACTGGTGCCAAAGCTCCAGACGAACAGCATGATAACTACAGTATAATAAAAGCATTAACAAAAACTTTAAACACTTTCTTCTAAAGTGGCTTCCCTCAGAAGCAAAATACAGCAGTGCATTGCATGTGTGCTGAACACAGTGATGACAGGTACACAAATCACACCATAGACATGCTGTGAGCTTATTTTTCTGAAATGGAGATGTAGGTCCCTGATCTGGAATCTAGAAACATGAAACTTTGCAACAGAGTTATAAAATCCATCACAGCTCTCACACAGAGCCAGGTCCATATTTCAGTTCTATAGATCTGGATGTGAAGAATATATAGAGACAACAAATCTAGTTAAGGGGAGGGGAATCAAACAGATGGGTATCTTCAAATTCTCACCACGAGAAGAATATAAAGTATGTAAAATGCAGTTTCTGTGCCTGCGTTTTCAGTTCAACTACTCTATGCTTGACTACAGGCTATCATGATAAAGGATATTTTGTTTTAAATGCATTCATTCATTAGGAGGTTTTGGAAAAAAAAATAGTCTGAAGTCTTTGAATGATGTTGCTTGAAGTTCCCTGAAGTTTTGTCTACGCACAGAATCTCATCACTTATATCACAAGAAACACAGAAGGATACAGAATTACCTAATTCCACGGCTTCATCCCAAGGAATAAATCTGCTGGAACCCTGCAGTTTTCCAATACACAAGTCCTCTTAAAGCACAATCTGTTGCTTAGATGTCCACATATAAATCAACCGATATTTCCTGATATAATTTCACCTAAGAATTATGTCTGAAACTTTTCTAGCAATATTGTTTACATAATTACCCTTTTGCATGCATGCAGGAATTCTCAAAAAGATCAGTTAATTAGCAATACCCGTGGAAACAAAACATATTTCACATCTCAACGTTTTCAAATAGTGAGGAAAGCTCAGGGTTTTCACCTGTTTTCATAGCAGCAGGAGCCTGGGGCGTGGTCATCTGAAAGATCACATGGGGATTCAGATACAAACAATCATCTGCTTACTCAACAGACAGGCATTCCACCACCCCCAGTTTAACTGCCCTGCCATGGCACACAGATAACTGGGCATGGTGTCAGTATTTCTGTTAATGAACGGAGCAGGAGTGTGACTGCCAATAGGAGCAGGACACATGGCAGAGATCAAGCCTCCAGTGCCTGGCTGTGCCTTCACGGTGAGGTTTAAACTGATTAGCAATTTTGGAGACAGAATTTTCTCC